AGAGAAAAATGAGTTTTCTGATCACCAAAAGAGCGAGGCGTCCCTCCCCCTTTTGATTTGACGGTTCTCCGTGTTTCTCCGCAGTTTTCAGCGTCATCCGCCGGTTTGATGCTTTCTCCGTTGTTTGGCTCCACGAGTGTTTCTCCACGGCTGGACACAAAGAAAACGAAGTTCCTTTTGGGCTGAGTTTGACAACTTACAGCGTTTCTGAGAGCTGGATGGAGTTGTTGTTTCCCTCCGCTGGTTCTGTGTCCTCAAACATCAGCTGGAGGGGAGCAGAAACGAGCAGATCAGCAGTCCCGTGGGCTCAACTTGGCTCTTAGAGCTTCCGCGTGCTCAAAGAAGTCGGAGCGTTCGACAAGCGTGTCCTCACCGCCAGGTATCCTGGGCAAAAGAAAGAATTCTTTGTCTCTGCTGAAGATTTATGGTCTTAGTTCGCGGGAAAAGCTCCACGGCTTCCCGCACATGCGCAGAACGTGTTTCTGGTACTAGGCGGTGACGTCATCACAATGCTTCCGTGTGCAAACCATCATGGGAAATGAAGTTTCTTGGCGCTGATGTGATTATTTGCTTTTCAGAGCAATTTAAGCACAGTCATTTTGGAGAAAATCACTGCATAGTAATTTCCTCATGAGGTCAGACCCTCAACATGTGGAAGATGTGTTTGTTCTGTTAACAAACTGTATATAATGTATTTTTTTTTTATTTACACCAGGTTTATGTTATGATTGTGCCAATACATTAGCATAGCTAGTAGCATACGACAGCTAATGCTGTCTAATAATAAGCTGTGTTGCAATTAAAGACACAGAATCTTTAGCTCTCTATCAATCATGTTGCACCATTCACAACACGTTTTACTTTCTTCTATGGGTTTTCTTTCACTTTCAGAATTATATGGGCATTGTTCAATAACTTGGAAAATAGGAAAAATAGCAGGCAAACATTTAACGGCACTTTCTGCTCTGCAAAATAAAAGTGATCCAGCTCACTGTGGTCACCACTTACAGGACATTTCAGCAACTATTTTTAGAAAACCCGGTTTGACACACACGGTCACATTATGTAACCTAAATCCAGACTAATGCTCAGTGTGACCCAATGATTTGATTTAGATAGAATAGAAACAAGCATTTGGATGAAATCATGTTGACATTGAGTTCTGGTCATGTTGTAATAAAACAGATAATTTAGTTTGATCAAACTTAAATCCATCTACAGCACATAAATCCACCTGAGGCACGCTTGGAGAGGAGGCAGAGGGTCTTCAGGCCTTTATATAAGAGTAATCTGATAAATGTTATTTAAACAAGTAATTTTATAAAAATGAAATGAATCAGGTCTCATTAAAATGTTTTCTGTAAGTCTGTTAAATGTCCTAAAACCGTCTAGAAAAGCCATGACAGCATTCATGTAAAAATACTTTTCTTCATGAAGTGTGATTTCATGCAAAAAAAATATGAAGTTACTTTTTTACTTGAGAATTAAATTTGATTAGTCTAATTAAATTAAAGTTTAGGTGAATAAAAGTATTTATAAAAAGGGGACAGCAATAAGGACTAAACAGTGAGTGAGTCATTATGATTTGTGGTAAGTTTCATCCTGCTTTTAGGGCAACTTCCTACTGGCTGACATTGAGTTAAAAGCCCTTAATTTATCAATGCAAGTCATATTGCCCCAGATTTTAAAATCAACCTGTAAACTCACTGTTGGACCACGCGAACCCCTCACATGTTGGAAGCAAGGTGTAATTTGATGTTTAGACCACAAGGCAGAGCTCCAGATCCTCAGAGCAGGACCACTTTTGTAGCTAATTTGATTTTAGAGATAGGAGAAAGCCTGAGATAAAACACCAGCAGCAGAGCAAAAGAAAAGTTCTGCAAATAATTAAAACTAAATTTAGTGTCTGATGGGAAAATCATTTCTTTTATAACCGAGTACACACTGTTGTGAGCGACAGAAAATGAAGAATATACACAGAAAAAACTGATTCCAGATAGCTGTTATTCAGATGTATTTATTTTTTAATCTCAGCTAAATAACGTGTGAAGAAGCATCATCTTCTAATTTATCTGGCTGCTAGATTTCAGAGCTGCATCAAAGTTAACACGCAGACTGGTCACCACGCCTCTCACAGGAAGCCAAAACAGAAAGTCCAAATGGACGTGGAACACCCACTCTATCATTAGGTCTAAAATTATGACTTCAGTCTTTATTTTGGTAAAATTCAAAAATGAAAAGCCATCCATGACTTAAAATCATCAAAACAGCGCAGAAGAGGCGTGATCTAACCATGTGCACTACTACAGAGAGGAAAACAAACCGGACAGTCATCAGCAAAAAACTGGAACTTAACCCCACGCTTTCTAAACGGTGCCCCAGTGGTAGAAGGATAAGAGAGGGGGCGCTAACACAGACTTCCCGGAAATGCTCAGATGAAGACTATGAACAACCACCCATCCTCACTCCTCAGATACCACGACTTAACCCACTGAAGTGCCAGTAATGTCTACCACCGTTTCCAAACAGGTAATCAAGATGGAGTCGTAGTTTCTTCTAACAGACACCGAGTGTCAGGAAGAGAATAGATGTGAAAATCGCTTTACCTGTAATAAAGTTGTTGTGGTCCATCATAACATGATATAACACCTCCTGCAGATTCTCCAGGTTAACTCCTCTTAACGAGCTTTTATGTCAGAGTTTTGATGTCCTTTGGTTGTTTTCATTAAGCCATGCAGATTAAACAAATTCTGTTATTTAGATGCTTCTCCATAATTATTTTTTTGGCTTTTACTTACAGAAGTGGGATTCACTTATTTCCAGACTTGAGAAAAAGGCAGAGTTTGTTTTTACTGGATACAAGTATATTCATAATCAGATATCAGTTTTGGTCTCTCAAAGGTGTGGTTTACTCGTTTGACCAATACATTTGCAGTTGTCTCTGGTAGGAATGAATGTCTTGTATGCTGTAGTGTGGGAGAAAAAAAAGCTCTGGTGTGCCTGTTTCAGGAACTAAAAGTGAGTCAGATCAGAGTTGGAGTCTTATTTCCTGATATTTGGATAATTTGCCTCAGATTGGATAACAACAACATGGCTCAACCACTGACTCTGTTTACTTAGCAATGTTGATGTTCTATCTCCACAAGTAACTCAAACTTGAAGGGGTTCTGCTGTGCGGTGGAGTTGCTAATGCTAATGATTAGCTCCTACGAGATGAGAGGTTCTCTGCTGTTTCCTGGATGCTAAACCAACAACAGCCTCCGCCATGAGTCAACATGAGTGTTAAGTGACAGTGTGACGTAGATCTGTCAGGCTTCTCAAATCTTAGAATTTCACCTTCTATTTTCTATCAGAAGCTAATTGAGGAGATAGGTGTTGGAGACTATTTTCATTTTCAACCTTCACAAAAAACTCAGAGTTACTGATTATAATCAGAAGTAATTATTATAAAATGATTTTTCAGTGTTCCAGACCTTCAACTTTCTGACAACTGAAAGCATGGAAGGAAGTGGGAGTGGAGTAAGACTCTGGTAGGGGGTGACTTGCTCTTTAAGTTTGCAATGTTGTTACAACAAAAGTAAGAACCAATTTTACATTCTAATATGTAATTTACTGTATGTATCACATTTCCTTTCTGTGTATGATTTTTTTGAAAATGCATGTATGCGTCTACTTACTCTCAGCTTCTTCAGCAGGTACCAGGATTCTCCAACATTTTCATTCGGGTCAAAACGCTGCAGGCTGACCCATCTCAGCCCCGGCTCCCTGATAGGTTGCATATTGATTTAAAAATCCTATTGCTCACCTTCAAAACAGTGCCTCTAAATAGATCTCATTATTGACATGCAACCTCTTACTTATTGATTGATCCACATACAGAGCTGTGCAATTTAGTCCCATGTTAAAGTTTCTAACGCTAACTTTAGGAATAATTTGGATCTTTTCCAATTGAACCTTAGTTTTATTAAACTCTGTCATATATTGGAAGATAGACAGTAGAATGAAGCCTCAAATGTAGACTAAAAGGAGCAAACAGGTAGTTTAATCCAGGACTCTTTACTTAACAAGACACAACAGAAACCGACTGAAATAAGTAAAATCTCTACCGACCACTTATTCTTTATTTTACCAAAGCAGACTCCTTTTGAATATGAGTTTACACAAACTTAGAGGACTCGTACCTGTTGTCCTCACACTCTCTCCTAATCATCCAGTATGCTTGATCAATACTCCAGACGCCAAAGCAGTCAGTTGTCTGGGCTGCTGATTCAGCGTGCCAGCTAAAGATTTACCTCTGGTGTCATTTTCTGTTCTGGGATTTAGGATGAAACCTACCAGAGGGTCTGGACTCCCCCCACAGGGAGTCTAATGTCTTCTCAAGTGTTGGCAACTATTGACCGCAGGCATTTTTTATTTCACTCAATCGTTTAAGGGCTAAATAATTTATACTGGAGTAATTAACACTGTCTGATCAGTGCAAGAGCTTTTCAGTGATCTGTGCACAGGATTCATAGCAGAGTTAAATATTAAGGACATATTTACTTGCGTTGCTTTCAGTGCTTTATAACAGAGTTTCACCACAGCTGTTGTCTGTTGTTGTGTGTATTCCACCTTCAGCTCAGACAAAAAGGACAAAAAGTATTTGACAGCCACAGATCTGCAACTTAAAAAGATAAGAGGTCTGTAATTATCAACTGTGAGAGATAAATCCAGAAAATCACATTATATAATTTTAAAAATAATTTGTTTGTGTAATTGAGCAGAAAAATGTGTATTTAGGACCTAAAAACAAGCAAGAATTCTGGCCCTCACAACCCTGTCACTCCTCCTTTAAGATTTGTGTCCTACACTCTTTACCTGTAAAATTGGCACCTGTTTGAACTCTACATGTATAAAAGACACCTGTCTACACCTTCAAACAGACTCAAACCTCAACCATGGCCTACACCAGAGAGCTGTCCAAGGACACCAGAGACAAGATTGTGCAGCTGGACAGGACTGGGATGAGCCAATAGACAAGCAGCTTGGTGAGAAGAGATTTGCTTTTGGAGCAATTATTAGTAAATGGTATAAATACAAGATTACTGACAATCTCCCTCGACTTGGGGCTCTGGGCAAGATCTCACCTTATGGGGTACAAATGATCTTGAGAACGTTGTGGACACTTATGTTGTGTGATGTCTGAGGTGTTTTTTGCATAGCAAAGCTGCCCTCCCTGTGGAGGGTAACTCTGAAGTGCCTTTTTTTTTCTCCACCTGACTCAATCCTCACATAAACCCTCTGATCTCTATTAAGGTAGCGCAACTCGAGTTGCGAATGACCACAGTCACCAATTCTTGTCATGTGTCTACTATATGTATGTCTGATTTCAGAATTGTGTGTACTGAAACTCTCATTTCCCTCTGGGACTAATAAACTATCTTTGAACTGAATTGAATTGAATTATGGGGTACAAGTGATCTTCAGAATTTTGGGGATACAGCCCAGAACTACACAGGGGGACTGGTCAATGACATGAAGATGTCATGGTCTGTGCTGAGCTAACACCTGTTTTGTGTTGAGTTTCTCTGTGTGCAGGTGGGTGTGTCCGGAGAGCAGCTGCTGTTGATCTTCTCATCAGCGGTCAGGGGATTTAAGGAGTGTCGGGACAACACATCAGCGCCGGATGATTACTCAGTATTGGGTAGTATTGTCGCCAGAACCTTGCCTGTCTTGTGTTATCTCCTGTTTACCTTGCTTCAATCGTGTTAATCTGCCCTGTTACCTCTGACCTCCTCAGGTACCTTCCATTCATCTGCCAACTTCCTCCATCAAGCAAAAGACTCACCGGATCAATCCTGCTCACCGGCCCGTTGCTCGCCCCTGACCGCCTGCTCTCCAACCCCCACCTGCCATCAGGACACCCTGGACTCCGGTGCTCAGCCATTTCCTCTGCCTCTCGCCCGACCAACTCAGCCAGCCTTGACGTGCCCTCCTCTCAAACTCTCCCTAACTACCAGGAAACCGTAAGACAAACTCTCATTACCTTTTATGCCCGTTGTCCTGCAACTACTCACTCTGGTTTTCTACTTCAGAACTTCATCAGAACCTCCCGAATCCCGATCTACATCTGCATCACTCATCAATCTTAAATCAGTAATTTTTACTTACCTTCTGCCTGTTGTGTGATTCTGCATGTCGTGGGTCAAAAAACTTCAACCCAACATGACAGAAGAGAGCTGGGACCACAGCAACAAAGGTTACTATTAGAAACACACAATGTCGTCATGGATTAAAATTCTCTAGCGCTTAGCAAGTCCCCCTGCCTAACACAGCACCACATGTGGCTGCCAGATGCTTTTTTGCCTTACTGTACATGGTTGCACTTCCACTGAGTGAGCCATATCTCTAAATGTAAATATGTTGCTGAGCCCCCTGTAGCACACTTTAAACTGTATTGTCCAATATTATCGTAGATAAAGATGACCATAGAAGCAGGAGAAAGTTTAAATGATGATTTCAGCTCTTAGAACCGATGAGCTGTAAGAAGAGCACTCTTGACTTTCTTTTTTATGTTGGGTGAATAGTGTGGATGCATGAATGGTGAGAAAAGTATAATAGTCTGTAAATGAGTATTGATTCAAGAAGATCTCGATGACATTTGTCTTCCCTTGTTCTTTGGCAGCCCCTCACAGCCGAGAAGCCCGCGCCGACTCCAATTATATTAGTCACTACAGAGGGGGTTCATGTCAGGACCCAGCAGATAATAAAACTCTGTTGCTTTGCTCTGTACTATTGATCGTTACTGTGCGGTATCTCCTGGGCTGTGTGGGAGTTCAGGCAACCCAGACGTTTTTTCCATCAGGGAAATGTTGTCGTTTGCAAAAGGGCTTATGTTCTGATGTAGTAAAATCATTTTCTCTTGTTGTAAACCACATTGCATGGCAGGGTGATTAAGAAAAATCCATGCATTGATGTTATGATATTTAGTAGTATTTACATACACAGTAATTTCATTTATGCCCCATTATAAAGCACAAGTTTATCTTTTTTACTAAGATATTTAATGGTTAAATATAAATGACTAAAGCAGTGTTGTCTCCATATCTTTGTACCATCTCCATCACTGCATGCAAACTCATGAACAGCTATTTAGGGAAAGTTTATCAACAGTTGTAATGATGCTGTTTTCACTGTTTCACACAGTAAGGAGAAGGGAAGACCCAGAGATCTCCTTTGAGCTGCTTTTGGCTACAGAAGGAAGGAAGAACCCTCAGGCAGAGCCAGACTCCGGGTGAGCGGCCATCTGCCCCGTCCGGTTCAGGTGTCGCAGAGAATGCAGGAGAACTGATGAACAAGCGATAAAAATATAAAATACTGGATGCTTTTTTGCCTCAGTAGCTATAAATTTGACCAATGTATCATCAGAACCAAACCAACCATCTCCGTGCTGAGCAGTCAAGTTTGCTTTCCAGAATGTTTTATATTCAAGAAACTGAGTTTTGCTAAGAAAATTCAAGGTGTTGTAGGATGTCATTATTTGTTTCTGGTCATTTCCTCTAAAACTACAATTTGAAAGAAAAAAGAAAAGAAATAGAAATCATCACAGGTTGCTGAACGCCTGTCCTCATATTATTTAGTTAAATTGTGATTTATAAAACACTTTACAAACACACACCGCCATCTACGTGAATCTCAGAGCTGTATGAAAACAGAGCAATGTTTCTAAAGCTGTATCTAATATTTGTTTTGTGATCATTTGAAGACTTTTCATTCTGGTTATCCTAGAGTGCTGATCTCCTTTTGCAGAAAACAGGTGTGAAGTTTTTGCAGCACTGAGAGAATATTTTATTTTATCTCCTCCAATAAATGTCCTGCATTCAGAGCTCAATACTAATGATTGTGTAGTTCTAACAAGCTCCTGGAGGTCTGTCTTGTCTGAGACTACAGCTGCAATGTGAAGATGTTATTTTTGGTTCCTCTGACAGGATCTTGCTCTGACAGTTGAATGATGGACAGAAAGTGCAGGCCGCTGGTTTATGATTCAGCTCCTGGAATCGGAGTTCCTGCAAAGAAGTTCTTCTAGCCACCCACTTTTTTCTTTTTTGGGTGGTTTAATATCATTTATAGATGAGAATTAGCTTAGCAAGATGCTGTCATGTCAGTTCTCAAAGGCGAATTGTAATAATGGATATTCTGCATGTAGGTTGGTGTATAAATATCATTTAGCGTGCACAGTCCTTGGGTAAAAGTATCTGGTGTACTTAAAATAGCAAAAAACTTTAAGTTATAAAAGTTTACTGGGTTTCCCATCCTCATCCTCTCATTTTCTTTAGTATGTGGGCTGTGAGCCAGAGGAGGGCTGCTCTCCATTGCATTGTGTTGGGATCTTGATCCTCTTCTTTCTGCCTTCTCCTAGATTCCTGGGCAAAGGGATTTCACAGGGGATTTTATCTTCATTGACAATGTCAACATAGCAATTTGTAGAGAAGTCAAACAAATCATCATCAGTGCTGTCACATCATTCAGAGAGGAGTTCCTGTCTTGCTTTATGCTGGAAGATTTTTTCATCAATCTGAAGCTAATCAGTGATGCCTTCAGGTTCTTGAATGCCCTCATCAATGACATCGTATTCACAATCAGCATTACCTCATTGATCAGTGACACTCCTGCTCAGCAAGCCTCCATCTGAGGTAACACTGACTTTGTTTTTCAGCTTATTGTAGAGAATGATTTGAATGAAGAAAACAATTTTATGACTGAGGTTGTTCTATTGCTGCAATGTAAACCTTTCTGCAACACATTCAATATGACACCTTACGAACACATTTAGTTTTTTGAAAGTTAAAATAATCATTGATATGTTAGGAAAACACAAATATTAGAGAGCATCATCCTACAAATGTCCAGATTATAATTATGCAGTAAAATAATCACAAATGTCTTGGTCGTGTTGGAAGGACGGTTACCTTTAAACAGATTTCTTTCTCAGCCATTTGGGGGGCTGTCAGGTTTTCTCCATTTAAAACTTGGAAGAGTTACGTAGTGTAGCGTGTTTATCTACATACTAGAATCAACACTGTTTGCTATCATTTATTAGATTCTGAGAAAAGACACAAACGAGTTAACAATGAAGCTTTAATTGTATATAAATATCTAGGATATTATATACGCGATAGAAGTTCATATGCCAACGAGCTTGGTCTAATATTAATCCAAAGATTAATGTTTAATTTAAGATAATTAAATTTAATAGCAAAAGTTTATTTATTTAATCAGAAGTTAAAGGCATCTTTGCTTTTTCAATAACCAGAAATACACACCATTCTGTGTTTCATTTCAAAGATGAGGCAGAGTTTAAAAGTTAAGAATTTATTACTAACAATTTAAAACTTGACAATTAAAAATGACAATTCATGGATGACAATTTAAATGACAATTTACCAGACTTGATATTAAACTTGGTATCAAAAGCTTTACCTGTGTCTGGAAGGAAAGCTAAAATAAAATGAGAGCTTGGATGCGTGAATGGATTCTCAGAAGGTTTCTTTCAGAGAGAGGAACTCGTTCTGGGAGAATGCTTGTTCTGCAGCTAACTCGGTCATTACTTAGAGAGAACAGCATCACACACAATCTGTGTGGCACCTCACCCATTCACACGACCCTTGTGTGGATTCGGAGGTCAAGGGAGGATGTTGTCAGTCTCAGGGTACCCGGTCCGGTAGCGAAGACTCGAGTAAAACCGACTCTCAGGTCCAAAGATGTCGCAGGGTACACAGTGTCGAGCGTCTGGCTTAACTCTGAAGGAGTTTTGCATCTTAACTCTCAAAATCAATAACTCTGAAGGAGTTTTGCATCAGCTGGTTACAGGTGCATTTATTCAAAGCTATTCTATTGGCGTGACAGAACAACAGGGAGAGGCTTCAGGGTGGCCAACCCTTATCCTCAAGATGGTGGTTGGTTCAAGAACTGAAGTTACAGCTGCGGAAGATTTAGTTTTAACAAAACCACAGAACACGCCCACTCTCAGCCTCAGAAAGCTTGGCCATGAGTAAAAGACATGTGATGGCAGTTTAACTTTTACCCTGGATAAGCCCTCTGCATTGGATGGATAAAATGGAGGATGACCTTCTGGTTTACTGAACACACATAACCGATTATCACAATAATCATTATTATACCCAAAGCATAATAATTCATTTCAGTAATTAAAATACATTTACTGAACCAAGAGATTAATTATGATGATTGTAATAACAGTAATAAAGTCAAAAGTTTATTAAAATTATTATTTAAAATTATTATTGTGAAACTTGAAGTGTCCTTCAGCCTGGGACGGAACAGCAGCAGATAAAGATGATTTCAGCAGATATCATGGCTCCTTACATGTTTAATCTGTGGGGCAAAGTTACAGTCGACCCAGCTTGACCCAGCTGATAAAATGCGACCTTTGTCACAAATTAGAGGCCCTTCATGATGCTACAGTAGTCATGGGCCACTTCCACACATGTGCTCCTCAATTATGCATTCCCATCCTGTGGTTCGAGGAGTGTTCCAGCTCTCATGTATGGATTTTGGCTCCACCCCTTTAGCACCCTGATACACACTTCACAGGAGTCCGCAAGGGTATTAGCCACAATCCATTGATGTATAGGAATTTTGAAAAGACAGATAAATTGTTCTTTCTAAAAATAGATATTTTCAAGTATAATTATTGAAATATTGAATATTTTATGTGTATATATATATGTTTACAACTGTTGGAATGACGCATTGCATGTCTGCTGAAAAATGCTAACTGATAACGATGCTGGTGTCACTGAGGTATGCTGCATTTGTACGGGTTGATGATGGTATGTCCACTGTCCCAATTCTGTAGATAATTGTGGACTTGTTTGTGTGTTTGTACTGTGTTTTTGTCTGTAATTTATTTATTTTTTGTTCTTTGTCTTACCAACACATTCTCACACCCGAAGCAGCTAAAACTGACGATGGGTGACCAAGTGTTTGTGCATTTGTTGGGAGCCCCAACGCGTTGGGAGGCGCCGCGCTGTGCCAGAGTGTTGGTTTCCGAAGCCCACAGGAAAATGCACATGTAACCTCTAACCTCTTGCTATTTAACATTCCCCTCACCCTTATCCTAACCTTACCCAGTTTCTTATTCACATATTCTCGTTACTGTGTTTGAGAGGGACGATACAACTAGGAACAAAGTTTTGCATGCACAAGTGGGGTTAAGGTTAGGATGGGGGTGAGGGGATGGTTAAATAGCAAGAGGCTAAAGGTCACAATTCGGTGAAATCACTGTTTTACCACGGGTGTTGGAAAGCGATGCTCTGGCACAGCATGTCGCCTCCCGACATGATTAAATGTCAGTTATCAAAACATTATACATTTTGGCTTTTAGCAATTTAGTTTTATATTTTAATTTTAATGTCATGTCAATAAATAAAAATAAAGTTGAAAAAAATTACACCACAGAGCAAATATAACAACAGAAGAATGAGACCGTAAACAAGAGGACCAACACATACAAAATGCACTGAAAACCTGCAAATACCCAACATGGACAATAAAAAAAGGAAAGCTACAAACAACAACAAAAGAAAAAAGAACCAACAAAAAGAACCAGAAACAAAACCAGTACTTACCCTTCCATATATCAAAGGCATAACAGAAAAAATAACAACGATGAAAAAACACAATATCAACACACCAACAAAGCCATACATGACAGGCAGAAAAAGACTAGTACATCCAAAGGTTTTATCAACAGATACAAAATGTAGAGTCGTATACAAAATACCATGCAAACTCTGCAATAAAACATATATAGGAGAAACCGGATGCCAACACACGAAAAATAGAACACCAAAGGAAGTGCGAGAAGGAAATAAGTCGAAGACGCACAAGAGCAGCCAAACAAGAAGCAGAAAGTACAATAAAGAAATCAGCTGTAACAGACCACTGCACAAGAGAAAGCCACATAACAGACTGGGGCGGTACACGGATCATATACACATAACAAAAATATAAAAGATGGATCAAAGAAGCAATTGAGATAAGGAGGCTTGCGCACAGGACCGTGAACAGAGACGATGGAACATACACATTAGATCACGCATGGGACATTGTCATCAGCAAGGAGGCCATAGATGGTGACACCATATTCTGCTGCCCGCGGATAAAAGTAAGTGACGCCACCATTACCGGCGGTATCTGAGGATGGCTAGAGCTACTAGCTGAAACATGTAAGGTAAACCAATAACTTTTACTAAACTGTGTAAGAAAAGAACAAAAAAAAGGATAATTGCTGACTTGTTCCCTACGCTCTCTAAGCCTTACACCCACTTCCATCAAGTGCACTTTGCAGTGGACCGTAGGCCGTAGGTGTGGGTATTGGGACAAGGCCATTTGTTTACAATTTGTCCCACCACCACCCTTCCTGGTTCCAGAGCCCTTGGGGTTGCCAAGTCAACTCAGAGTAGACCAGTTTGTTTTGAAACAGGGACTGCAGTACCCAAATTTGGCCACAGGATGTCATTCTTACTTTAGTGACCTTTTTAATATTTTGCTTTCAAACAATATATTCATGCACAACTTGAAACCTTAGGTAAACATTTAAAACCTAAGGTTTTAAGCCTTTGATCTTCACATGTAGAAGCATTTTTTATGCCTTTTTATTTTCTTTGGGACAGTAAAGCTCTCAATCAGTAAAGTAAAAGTTATAATAATGTAAGAAAATAGCATTTTACTCAAACGTACCTGTATTTATTTATATTATTTTGTTTAGTAGATTTTTATTTTCTTCATTTTGTATGTGACTCAATAACTCATTTAGGCTAACATTTGCTGTCCCACTTGTTTAACATGCTGGTTAAAGGGTTAATGTGAGACTAGAAGAAAATCAAAACAAAGTGAACGATATTTGTCCACTTGGGGATGTTCCTAACCGTGCTCCTAAAAGAGATCAATAGTTATAAAAGCATGTTCAGCCACTGTCGATTAAACTGAAACTCCAATCAAACTTGATTAAAAAAAACTTCAAACACTGTGTGGACTGAACAAGTTTGCAGAAAGGAAAACCAAATAAGGCAAATGGGGTTCAAATGGCAAAGCAAAAATATGCATGTGGTGTTTAATTACTCATCTGCTTGTGAGACTTGATATGGGCCAGCTGCTGTGGACATAGCTCATCTGTCTAGCTGAAATATATCAAGGATCTCTGACATAAAAATCCAGCCAGGGAAGAAGCTATGTCAATTATCTGGCATGTCATAAAGAAATATGTGACAGAAATACGACATTACAGCATCAGTTTTGACCCTGACATCTATAGATTTTAAATAACTTGCTGACCCTTATCTGACCTTTGAGGCTGATTCAAGTAATTTGAGCCTTGATAATAAAGGAACTGGTGAAACAGTTTGATGGTGATAAAATCTATCATTTTTATCACTGAGGATTTGGATATCTTTATAAAAATGAAGATGATCAATTCTTTCCCATGAACTGTGCTGCTTTCTTGCGCACCTTAATAACATTTATCTGATCTAAAAAGGAGAATAGATTACACTTGCTTTTATATACCTTTGTTCTTTGTTACATCATAATGTAGTGTAGAGTGCATGCCCTCAAATTCTACATCAATACCACTGGTGTAGGATCTGCTCGGGCTGCCGAATCGGCATATCCACTCGTGTGCTCTCACACATACATTTTAGAAAGAGTTTAGCAGTTTTGTTCATAAAACCACCTAAATGATTTATTTTTACATGTAATTTGCTAATAAAACACCAAACTGTCTTAGTTTCGTAAAGAATTTAAAACTATGTAAAACCAACATCAGACTGCCAAAAAGTACAAGAGTTCTTAAATGTGAATATTTTTAAATGTATTTACATAATTAGCAGACATTAGTATAAATGTGGAATGCTGTATATTGCCTTAATTCTTACGTAATCAAATCCTTTCGTTCATTCTAAATATTGCTTGCTATGAGTTCTTTGTTTTTTATTTTGCCCCATATCATCAAAATCAAGAGCTGCTGAGGGTCTCCAGTTATCAGTTGATATTTTAGCTTTTATTTTACATTTCCTTTGGCACATTTTTCCCAAAACGTGTTTGTTGTTGGACTACAGGACTAGAACCGTAAAGGACTACAATTGCAAATTTGTTTGGACCAATCAAAGTCTTCAGTTTCAACTTGCTAACGTAACGTTTACGAACATGGTATCGTAACTTCCATAAGTTCTATGTTCAGCCAATCATCTAGTGTGATGTGAAAATATATATCTCTCATATAAGCTCTTTCATATATTATTATAAGCTCTTTTATATGAACAAATATGTATCTCTCACTTATGCTCCTTATATATTATCATAAATACATTATTATATGCCTTTTCATGGAATCTTGTTATAATATCGAAAACCTCTCTGTGCCTTTTCTGCTCAAGCTGAACAGCTGCATAAGGGAGTGAAAGCGTTCCTTCCTTCAGTTCCTCAATACAAGAACAACTGTCTTTGTTAGCAAAGGATGTTGCAGGATGTGTCCTGATCATCTCAAGGTTGCATGTCCTTGGGATGAATTGGTCTTTCATTAACAAGGCTATTAGCTGACGTGCGTCTGCAGGTGCAGATGGCAGAATTACGTGTGTGTATGGCAAACTACGTATGTAACATTCCTGTAATCTTCAATAAAAATCAGCCGTTTTCAGCAGAACGGCGAGAGTCTGTCCGAAGCATCTGGCAAGAGCAGGTCGCGGGACTTGCTGCAGAGACTCTCCCCCTCATGAGCGGCGAAACAGTGAATGGACTTCTGATCATTTGTCTCCTCGTTCTGTCAACTTAAAAGGTGTTTAACTCCATCTACTCCGTACCCGTGCTTGGTCTAACGGAAGAGAGACCAACAAATTTGGCGTCACGAACAGGATTTTTTCTTTTTGAAGAAAAAGGAGTTTTTGGAGGACAATTTGACCAACCGACCCAGTGAACGATCTTGGCACAGAACACCGCGGTGGAAAACAAGGTGAGCAGAACCTTATTTTCTAAAATCTGCTCATTGGATTTATCCAAAGCCTTTTGTGTCCGGAATCATAGTAGCTGAGGTCCTAAAATAATAGTTGGAGAAGAAAGTGGAGACAAGTGCAGAAAGAATAAGAGATTTTTTGTAATGGTTTAATGGTGAAATGAAATGAGGATTTTTCTAATGGTTTAATGAGTAAATGAGAAAAGGAAATAGTACAGATGAAGGGATGGTGACCCAGGGCTAATAGAGTAGCCCTAAAGTTCCATTTCCAGGTCGTGGCTGACCACACTATTTGCTGACGAGCGGATAGAATATATAACAAGGTTATATAAAGCTTGGCTGGATCCATAGGTGTGGGAACCCTAAAAGTCCACAGGTCAAGGACCTGGTTTTTTTGTGTTAAGGGAAGGGGAGGCTAAAAGAGAGCTCCCTGGATTTTAAGGTCAAGGACCTGGTTTTTTGTGTTAAGGGAAGGGGAGGCTAAAAGAGAGCTCCCTGGATTTTAAGGTCGAGGACCTTTTGCATGAGATGAGAAAAATGTTCTGAGGTAACTGATTTTGCATAAGATGATAAATGTTTTGACTGCTTCTGTGTGAAGAGAGCAGTGCTTTTGGCTATTTCTGCGTGCTTTTGGCTGTTTTTGCATAAAATGAGCAATGTTTAAATATGACAAGCAGCCCAGTTGAAGCCACGAGAAATAAGGTTTTATTGAGAAAGTCAGCGGAAGAGGCGATGAAGAAAAAAGGGGTAGATGTTAACAGTAGAGGTAACTGGAGAAAGATTTGGGAAGTGAAGGCTGCAGAATCAAGAGAAAAAAGGCACAGCTGTAGACAAGCTTCACTGTGTGTGTAAGCTGAGTTCAGCCTGTGTGTGTGAGGCGCAGCAAGAGGCTGCTTACGGCTCTGGATTGAAAGTGCAGCACTAGGAGAGTGCAGAATGCAGAGCAGAGTTTTGGGAGCTCCGTGTGTGTGTGTATGTGAGTGTACAGCGCTGGGTGTGTGTGTGAAGGCCTGATGCGGTACCAGAAAATAAATAAATAAGATAAATAAGAGCTTTAAAAAGTTGCAACTTGTATATGTAAATTACACTGCAGTGCTAAAATTAATGTTTGGAGCTACGCAAAATTCAAATTCTGCAACCCTGTTCTGATCAGTCTTTGAACAGAACACCATAAGTTAATAAATAAAAGGTTTTTAAAGTAACATATGCATATGTATGTGTGTATGTATGTATATGTGTATACATATATATACATATGTAGTGTAGAAGCGTGATAATCATTTGTGTGTGGGGCAGCATGTGAGTGACCCCGATCTGGGGGTTAAGTGACCTGGAGATGAAAAAAGGGAAAAAACCACCAAGAAACGCAAGTAAGGATGTAAATGACAGCTTTATTTTAGAAATATAGTCATATAGCTGCTAAACAGTAAAATCAAAACAGATCTGCAGAAAATAAATATATAAACTATTCCTCAGAGCGCTCTCAAAAAAATTGCAATTGGATTTGCTCTAATGTTACATAAGGCCTGCTTAAAAGCATAGTAAGCATTAAATTCTGAAAATAACCAGTGCAGTGTTAAATAAATTCTGTGCTTAAAATATTATATATATATATATAGAGAGAGAATAAATAAGTGACGAACTGACTTACCTTAAAAAAATAATAATAATAATAAAAAGAGACTGTGACAAACAAAGAATGTCTCTGTGCTTTGTGAATGAGTGAATGTGTGTCTTCTTGCATGAGCTGCTTTCGCTGGATCTTCTGAATGACTCAGTTTTTAATAGAGGGAGCAGCTGCTTGAGAAACAGGGTGCGGTCCATGTTTTTACTAGACGGTTATTTAGTTCGAGAGACTGTGGAAACAATAGAAAAAGAATTTATCGTTAGTGTGAGGACAAGAAAATCCTTTAAAATACAAAAGTTGTATGGTCGTGGTTATAAAGGAAGTATTTTGTCTGATTATGGGCCGTGGAGTCAGCTGGACTCCCTCGCTCTCACAGTTTTTCTGTGTAACATGCAGTTTTAAGCAATTTGTGACTTTAGAAAGGATATTTTTCGGTGTTTTGGACGTACCTTAGGGCTTCTGGTTAGGGTATTCAGGAGATCCTTCCTCTCGGACAGATCTAGTGAGAATGACTGGAGTTTCAGCCTGGGGACCTGGCTCCACCCACTTTTACACACAGGAGTCCCGCAGTCTAAAAATAGCACAGGGTACTGCGAAAAGCAGCTCTGAACCTCTCAGGATCATCTTTATGAAAACCATAAAATTAACAAATAATCAGTCAGGAAATAAAATATTTGTTAAATCTTGCTATAAAACAAAATCCAATAATTGTCTTGCCTCAACTTTAAGAACCATTAACGTTAATGGCTGGATTTTGGGACGCTGAATAATGAAAAAACAGATAAACTAAGTATTATTTCCTGTAACCTGGCTAGAAACTGTACTAGGCTGTTTTGAGTTAAAAACTGGTAGTTATTTTCCCAAAATAAAATAGATAAACAAAAAATGAAAGGAGGGATCTTGCATTTGGGATAGATTGTGCCTAAAGTTTAAAACCTGTGTAGAACCGACTTGACGATTCAGAAAAATTGTGCATAGGAAGTAGTCTAGATTTACCTTTGAGTCAATAAAGTCGACTAAATATTAGAAACCATCGTTGATTTTGATTTGTAAAAGAGAAAGTTCTGTCATTTTAACTCAATCAACATATTTAAGGAAAACGTTTGCTGTGCATTGTGGCAGGCATGAACTTTACTGGGTGGGCCTGTCACAACCAGCTGCAAAGAATGTTTGGCTCTGACTTCTATACAAAGAGAACCTGGAAGCCCTCACCAAAGAGAACCTGGAAGCCCTCACCAAAAGCTGTGACTCATAACATAAAGACGGGGAGCACTACAAGATGGACAAAGAGGCAGAAACTTATTTGCCCTGCTGCTGATGAAACAAAGTACAAAAGGGGGAGCATGTGTGCTAACATGTGAACTTTAATCAATGACGGTGGTCATCCTGGACTTACAAAGAAAGGCTCAAAAGAGACTGTTTCCCATGGTTACACCCAGTAAAAGAGTGCTTGCTGCAGTCAGGTAATGAACAAGGCTTTTTGGCAACAACCAGTTGAATTGATGAAATGTCAGAACTGTGGAAAATTTACTAAACTACTGTAGAACATAGTTAACTGAGAAAGTTAGCCTAAAAAAAGATAATAATAATATCAATAAATAAATAAATAATAGGATTAGTAACCTGGATTTCAGCCCAACTCACCATTGGACGTCAATATAATCTTTATTGTCTTAGGATTCTCAGCTGCAGCGGACATGCAGTAAAGCCTTATTTTCTTTTCAAAAAGTCATTCATCGGCGTCATCACTTATCTTCATTAGTTAAGGAAACGGTGTCTATTTATAAGTCTAGGAGAACGCTTTAGGCTTCAACAGTTTTCTCCTTCGAGCAAACATGCGCAAATTTCCGGACAGTTTATAGTAACGTTCCATCCCATTCCATTCATTGCATAAAAAATAAACATTAAATGAATAATTTGGCATCCAGCTGACTAAATGATTCATGGAACATCTCATCCGAGACAATAGTGAGGTAGAAAATAGTGTTACAAAAATATTGAATAATGGTACCCCTCATTCGATAAAAATTATGTTCACATTTTTATCTTGTGAAATCTTTAACATAATATTTTAATTGGCCTTTTTGACGACAATTGGCTAAAAAGTCTTTAAGATTATCATCACAGGATGGCATGATAAATAAGTAAATAACATAAATAAATAAATAGACAAAAATAAGAGAGAAAAAGCAAAATTAATTAAATGAAACGTAATAGTGATAAAAAGTTAAATTGATCTAAAATCTGTCATTCAGTGCCACTGGAAAAAGGAAGAGGATAGGGGAGTATTTCTTAGCACAAATCATGTTATTGATTTAGCAATGCAGCTTAATTTCAGATGCTTTAAGGATGATACTAACTTGTGTTATAGATGGAGGAGTAGCACAGAAACACTTCTAGATGAGGAGATAAGGAAAAAACTGCTGATTACCAATACTATGCACAAACAAACCTGTAACTGCAGTTTCGTTATTTATGAATTAACCTTAAGTAGTGAATTAATTCTTAGGATTTCTTGTGCGAGTAGTGTTCCTAAAAAAGAAAGAAAGAAAGAAAGAAAGAAGGTAAGAAAGACAGGTAGTTTAGGTAAGGGACAACCTGAAACTATTTGGTTGAATTGATAGTAAAAGTGGTTGTCCTAATTTTTAATTGGAGAGATCACACCGCAACATGAGTTTAGAACGGCAGTTATGGGAAGTTTTGTTGGATTAATTTGATTACACGCCTTAGGTCCTATTTTTTCTTTCCACTGATTTAGCGTTAGGTTAAGTGTTTTCACACTTTCGCTTCAGTCTGACATTTGCTTGGTGTGTGAGGGCACAGAGACGTGTATGGACCGTGTGTTTGACTGTGTTTGTCTTGTTTGTTTGTTTATTTATCTATATGGGCATGGCCGAGCCTTGAGAAACATCAACAAAGACATTGGACTATTCTGAGTAAATTAACCAATTCAAATTCAACTTCAGGATCCTGAAACAATTTGGCTATAACCTCTAATTGATGAAGGACATCTTAAGAATTCATTATACAAGGATTCCTCTCCAGTGTTGCCGGAACTGTTATAAAACCCATGCATGGTTGTATATTTTAGTTTGATCATTTATACTCATTGAATTATTGTTGTTTGCTTTATGTTTTAATTTCTTTGCAATTTTTTCTCTGTGACACAGGTGGAGATGCTGGTGGCAAAATGGATCCCACACATTTCTTTCTCCCACACACATTCTTACTCTCTCCCTCTCTCTCTGTGTATGTGCATGTGTATGTGTTTGTGTGTCTGTGTGTCCATGTCGTGATGTCACTGTACCTTTAATTGCGCTTGCTGTTCGTAACTGTATGTGTCTGATGTTGAAGGTATCAGAGGCTAGGGTCAGTAAGAGCTAGGACATTTTTGTGCATAACCTCTAATCCCTAGGCGATCGGTCCGGGGAACTTCTGGTCCGGCCGGAGTGTGAATCTTCCTACCAACTATCTGCCGAGATCAAGGACTGCACAAGCCGAGAAAGCCTTCATTGGACCAAAACCACACATGAAGATACTTCGCCTTCGGTGCCAGGCGTCGTCTGGGTCCTGCTGAAGGTCACCAAAAGAAAGTGGACGGAACCGAGGTGGACCGAGCCATACAGGATCACGGAGAGGACGTCACACGCTGTCCGGCTGGACGGGAGGAGCCTAACCTGGAAGAGAAGCAGCCGACATCTGCCTGACCAGAAAAAGTACCCAAGGACCAGGAAGAGAAGCAGCTGACATCTGCCTAACCAGAGAAAGGATCCAAAAAACCAGGAAGAGAAGTAGCTGACTACAGTAGCATGCCAAGCTGCCACCACATCCTGCAGGACGAGAATCTTGACATCATCACCCCCTGCAGCTGCCTGGAGCCAGTGAAGGGTCCTCAACAGGGGGAAGAAGTAACCACCCTATGAACATTCTACAAGGGTTGTATTTAACACCCTCATTTATTTTACAAGGGTAATATTTTACACCCTCCACCTGCTGACCCAATTATCCAGATGCCCTTGTTACTAGCCAATCCTAACATCTATTTGGGAGGGGAACTCTCTGATGATAGTGATGACTCTCATGATGAAGAAGATGTTGTTAGAGTGTGAGAATGTTCAGTGATTTATGTAACCATCCCTTCACCAGTTCATTTTTATGATTTTTTTGTTTGTTTTGTTTTATTTTTTGTTGATCATTGATGTCCTAGGCATGCACACTCTATGCCAACAGGTGTTCGCCCCAAAATTGAGATATGACAAATGGGGGGACATGGGGGAATTTTCCCTATAAACATATGATAATTAGGGTTTTTCGCCCTCATATGGAGTTGCATGCGATCCATACATGTTGTAACATGTTCAGTTAAAAATATGATCATGTTTTTTTTGTATTAGTTTACTGCTGGAAATATGAGAAGCTGTAACCTGATTGATTGTTTGTATTTGTATTTTAAAACTTTGCTTATTGGATTCTTTTTGATGGAATTTGGTGTTATTGTTTTGATTTCTTATATCTTTATTGAACTCTTAAAAGAGTTCAAAAGGGGGATTGAAAATATATATCTCTCATATAAGCTCTTTCATATATTATTATAAGCTCTTTTATATGAACAAATATGTATCTCTCACTTATGCTCCTTATATATTATCATAAATACATTATTATATGCCTTTTCATGGAATCTTGTTATAATATCGAAAACCTCTCTGTGCCTTTTCTGCTCAAGCTGAACAGCTGCATAAGGGAGTGAAAGCGTTCCTTCCTTCAGTTCCTCAATACAAGAACAACTGTCTTTGTTAGCAAAGGATGTTGCAGGATGTGTCCTGATCATCTCAAGGTTGCATGTCCTTGGGATGAATTGGTCTTTCATTAACAAGGCTATTAGCTGACGTGCGTCTGCAGGTGCAGATGGCAGAATTACGTGTGTGTATGGCAAACTACGTATGTAACATTCCTGTAATCTTCAATAAAAATCAGCCGTTTTCAGCAGAACGGCGAGAGTCTGTCCGAAGCATCTGGCAAGAGCAGGTCGCGGGACTTGCTGCAGAGACTCTCCCCCTCATGAGCGGCGAAACAGTGAATGGACTTCTGATCATTTGTCTCCTCGTTCTGTCAACTTAAAAGGTGTTTAACTCCATCTACTCCGTACCCGTGCTTGGTCTAACGGAAGAGAGACCAACAGATGTCATTGGCAGTCCGAGCAGATGCAGTGCCAGGGCGGTGGCAGATGTGCTGTTACTTTTCTAAGTGATTTACCATGGCGAAATTATAAGCAAAAAACATCGGAAAATTGTTCATTTTGAGTATGTTTATCACATGTGTGTTCATCACATGTGTTTATTAAGCATGTGTTTTTAAAATTTCATTTACCCATTTGGCGTAAATATCACCTGACCCTTTTGTTTTAAATTCTGGGCATATGTCCATGAGAAAAAAAAATCTGAGATGAATTTACCCACTGTGTTCCATCAGTCTCTGACCTCACTGATTTAGGTTTCTGATTATTTCATCAGCAGCTTCATTCTGAGCTCACATACAGAGTCAATAACTAACCCACCAGCACAACGTTTAATAATCATCATTCAATCTTTAGACCTTTAGATTTGTCCCTGCTACCCACATGGGCTTCTCTACAATTTCACTTAGTCCCAGATGCTTTTAGCCCACATGAGCAGCAAATCAAACATTTTCTCAAATGTTGCTCCAGATACCTTAAATAAATGTAGACGGCCATATAATGAAGCCATTTCAAAAAAATTTTACATAAAAAAATGTTTGAACTTTCAAGATACAATATTTGCATACATTATTTTTACATATTAATTGGTACCATTTTTTAGTTTTATGTATTGTTTGGTTTTTGTACAGGACTTAATGATAGGTAATTTTAGATTCATCCCATATTACCTTAAAGGACGACACACAGAGAGAGAGAGAGATTATTTGTAATGTCCATGAATCGTCATGCGAGAGCTGGGCGCAGAAACCCCTCCATGGAGCTAACCAGCCCCCCTCTGTTCCTGGGGAAAGCCTTCAGGTCACCAGCTCTGCATCCCCGGCATCTCCACCAAAATGTTAAGTAATTACATGTGGGGTAATATTTAATCTCCATAACCCTGGAACCTGAAATAACACACATGACAATAAGGGAGACATTTTACCCTGAGTTCCCAAAATAATGGAGAGTTAACGCAGGGAAAAACCTCCTCCGAGGCTTTTCCCCCCATCACTCCCAAGTCTCCTCAGTTTCCCAGGGGCTTTATTCAGCAAAAGGATGGGGGAGAAGGCGGGCCTTCTCAGGTTACAGAGGTACAGTTTCAGTTGGAAACCCACAATCAACATCCTTGCTCAACCTTTCATGAACAGCAACAGTTGGCAAAAACAGAGATTCATTTTGTGTTAATAACACAAAATGGGCATCTTTTAGGCCTCAAAAAGGTACAATTATAAAAATACCCAACACTTAATGTTTTGACTCTACACTGTAACATGTAAAATCTGCAAATATATATTGGATGATGTGTTGTTGTTAGTATTTAAACTATTACACATGTGAGACATGTTCAAATGACATTTCCATCTACATTTATTATAAATAGGTCACTCAACCCTTTTTTTCAGCCCTGGACTAAATATTGGAAGAAGAGCACCCAAAGATAGAATCCCTTCACTAAATGCCACTGTGAAGCCTTGAGTGATTTATTCTCCAGAATACCAAACTCTCTATCATCTTATTATCTTGGATAACCAACAGAAATAACAACGAATCCACCCAAAAGCACACAAATGACAATCCTCCCACGCCGTGACAGCCTGTAACAAAACAGTTTCCACTGCAGCATCAAGTCCTGAAGGATGAGCTTACAATAGCATTTGCATATAAAGTTTGTGTTTTTAGCTGCTGACAAAAACAACAACTCTGCCTCACATAAATATAGACTCTTAAAAAGCAATTTTTAAAACATTAATTGTGATTGAGGAGAGGTCACTTCCAGATGTATGGTGTCTCATGAATTTTAGATTAAATGAGGAGTAATGTCTTTTGTCATACATCTCTGTGAAAGTCAGACGATTTGTGCTGTTGAAACTGTATTACTTAGTCAAATTGGAATTTTATTGGATCCCAGACAGACAGCTTCTCTATAAAACCACAACATGTGACATCATCATCATTTGAGTGTGAAGTCACAGTGTCAATATAATGGATTATCTGAAGAAAAAAAATACTTTAGTCTTGTTTCAGTATATACTGGCAAACAATTTTAATATGATGCAATACCAGACACTGCGATAAGATGCGATGCATTATATGACTATACAATACCAGACATTATAATACAATGCAATACATTATAATACGATACAATGCCAGATATTACAATGCAATGCAATACATTATAATACTACGGTGGCCCTGAAGTGCAAACCACAAAACAAATCACTTAAAGCAACAACAAATTGAAACACGCAACAACAAATCACTTAATGCAAAAACAAATCACAAAACGCACAACAAATTGAAAAGCGCAACAACAAATTTACTAAATGCAACAAAAATCACTAAGAGCAAAAATAAATCTCTAAACGCACAACAAATTGAAAAGCCTAACAACAAATCACTAAATGCACAACAAATTGAAAACCACAAAAACAGAACACAAACCGGAAAAGGTAGGTACCAATGCTGCAACAACAGGCATCACTGATTGGATGATGGATCCGTTGGCCTTTTGAACCGGATGTTGTTCTGCCGAACGTGGTTTTGTGAAAGAGCAGTCAGCGGGCGTGTCCGAATCCACAGGCAGGATGCTTACGAGTACGGGTCCTCGCCAGTGTAGCAAGGCTGGGTTCTTGCCAGACCGCTAAGACCGGAACCCAGCGGCTCTGAATTCGGACAGTCTAGCCTTCACCTCTACGGTGGCCCGTAGGTCCCGTCACAGCCGCCCGTGGCGGCAGCTACACGCAAAGGACAAATGCTAAAGCTAGCAAAAATCGAGCAGGAACATTAAGGAGCTAACACAGCTTCACGTCCATCAGCAGCGTTTGTTCACAACCGTTTTCAGGTAAAGTAACTTTGTTTATTCTAGAAGCTTTCAGGGCTTACATGTTAACTTTAGATGGATTCATGTATGTTTTAAGCTACAGAATGAACTTGTTAAATGTACACAACACATTACTACTGAGTATTATCATGTAGGTAATTAATATAAACCAAATGCATTATAAATGCCGTAGCAACCTAAAAAGCTTAAAGCGGTTCAGTTTATAGACATTTTTTGTTTGTATATTTGTTTTTAAAATTACATTTTAGGCAGAAATCCCCCAGAACGAGTTTGTTTCACAGGTCCCAGTTATTCCCTTGTGTGTGTCTGTGTGTGTGTGTGTGTGTGTGTGGCAAATTAAACTTGTCATTTGTTTTAAGGACGACGGAGCAAAGAAGCGTTTTTATTAAGCTTAGAGGTGAAGAGTGAAGCTGTTTACACACACAGCCACAGAAGTTCCTCTGTGAAAAGTAGTTTTACATTCAGGGATTTACACAGCTTACATGTTTTAATGAAGTAAAAAGTTTGTGTGAAGAATAAAAGTTTTATCTTCTCATATGGATAAATGTAAAAATGTTTTTATTACCTTTTTGTCCCCTGTGGTCTCTGATTTTCTCTGTTTAGGACTGCAGGTGTCCAGGGTCAGGAGAGGCTTTACCTGGTGGTCCTCCTGGGAGAAAGGCCTTCTACTGTTATCATGTTAATGTTATTTAGCTGTTTGATATTTTAACACATTTATTAAAACAAATACTAACTGATAACTCTTTCTGATCATTGATTTTATCACCAATTTTATTAGATGTTTTTGAACATGTTACATGAACAGAAAATGAAAAGATGGTAAGGAGACAAGATTATTTATAATAGGTTACACTTATTTACAGATCAAAACCAGTATGGACCAGTTATGTACGGTTAAAGCAGGATTAACCTGAGTGACTCTTCCTGGATCATTTATTTAAACTGAGTGAGCAGGAAGTCTTTAACAGTGCAGCTGGATCTGCTGCAGGAGGATCCAGACGTGGATGGAGGGCTGGAGCAGACCCGTGGCTGGACGTTTCTGGCCAGAGGAACATCATACAGGACGGTCTGCAGAGAGAGCTTTGGGACGCTTCCTTTCACTGTCCACTCCATCATCCATCTACAGGGACTGCTGGGCTTGCTCAGACGACGGCTGTTGCATTTCTGTGAATGACTTGCCTGTTAACAATAGTGGTGGTCTGCTGGTACCTTCTCCAGGACAGAGCACCACTGACCTCCACACACATCTTTCTCAGGCTCATCCTCCAGACCCACAACTTCACCAGCACAGATGCAGATGTGCAGCACAGTGCATGCTGACCTGTAATAGATTAAAAAAGAGGTTTTTTATTGAAAAATGTAAAACAAAACATAAAATGCAGTACATTGGTTCTGTTCAGTTTAAAGAAAAGCAGCTGGGAAAACTAAAGATAATTTACATTTTTAAGACAGATCTAATATATATTAGGCTTAAGGTGAATAAACAAATGCACATTGAAAACAGTTCAATGCTATTTTATTAAAAAGACATTTTTTTAAAACGTTTTACCCCCATTTGATGCAAAATAAATTTTAAGGTCCAATTTACATTAGAAAACATCCTACTGCATTCAACATTTATAATGCATTTGGTTTATATTAATTACCTGCATGATAATACTCAGTAGTAATGTGTTGTGTATGTTTAACAAGTTCATTCTGTAGCTTAAAACATACATTAAACCATCGAAAGTTAACATGTAAGTCCTGAAAGCTTCTAGAATAAACAAAGTTACTTTACCTGAAAACGGTTGTGAACAAATGCTGCTGATGGACATGAAGCGGTGTTAGCTCCTTAATGTTCCTGCTCGATTTTTGCTAGCTTTAGCATTTTTCCTTTGCGTGTAGCTGCCGCCACGGGCGGCTGTGACGGGACCTACGGGCCACCGTAGAGGTGAAGGCTAGACTGTCCGAATTCAGAGCCGCTGGGTTCCGGTCTTAGCGGTCTGGCAAGAACCCAGCCTTGCTACACTG